CAGACCATTGCGAAGGAGCGTTCCCGAGGCAACGGATCGCCGAACACATGAGTTTGGAATAGGCACCTCCATGGTAACGCAAAGAACAGGGAGCCATTGCGTAGACAGTGCAGAAGCAACGAACGCATCTCCCCAGAAATGAACTACAGAGAGTTCGCTGCGCCCATTACGTAACAGCGGACAGTAGAAATGAAACAGTGAGGAGTGGTGTCTGGTATCCAGTCCGCAGAACACCTACATAAGCTGAGAGCTACAGAGACAGAAGACAGCAACAAGACAGAAAGAAGTCAGCATTGGGATAGCTGTCGCCGAAGACAGTTGAGATCCAACCATGGCCAAAGGTAGTTGAGATGGCACATTGAAGTATTGGGCCAGAAATCAAGTGGTGACAGTGACAGTATTTTATTTTATTGTTTATTTTTATTTGTTGATTTCTTTTTTATTTATTTATGTTTGTACATTTTTTCTATCTCCTTTAACATGCCACCTACATGAAGTAAATTGAGTGGAAAAGTGTTGCATTCACAATCAAGAGAAATTGTTAGTAATTTATATAAGCATATGAAAGAGGCTGGGCCAACAATTACAGTGAAGAACACAGGCATGGAAGTAGCAAAGGCAACAGGTGTACTGGAAAGTAGTGTCAGAAGAATAATAAGAGAAACAAAAAATATCAAATCTGGGGCTTCCACTTCCTTTTCAACACCCCATAAAGAAAGACCTAGGAAATCTCCACTAGCCGCTTTGGATGATTTTAATGAGTCTGTGGTGCAAAGAACAATTAATGACTTCTACATAGTCGAAAAATGGAGACCTACCCTGAAAAAGGTCACGAAAAGTTGAAGAAAACATTACGAGTAGATTTTGAGGAATGCATCTCAACATTAAAGAAAATTATTTTGAAAGTGGGGTTCTGCTGGAAGAAAACAAAAAATAATCGGACATTGCTGTTGTTGCCCCTTTAGAATAAACCCGTGTATATGTAATATGTATATAAAACAGTGAAAAGTGTATAATAGTGTATAGTGCATAACAGTCTGCATTCGGCACTTAAAACTTAACATTGGATATGTGAACATCAACGAGAATAAACCACCATCACCATGCAACACAATGAGGTAAGAAGTTATTTCCCTTTGAGAACGCCTGTACTGCATTCCCCGTCACACTTGTCGGCATGCTGGAGCTCTCTCCGCCACTACCAATACTTCTCCTACCTCGTGTCAGAAGACTGTCACCTCTTAAGTACTAGAGCTATATATATATATATACACACACACACACACACAGGAAGAGTTAAAATTCACCGCTGTAAACGTACAAAAATATGCTAAAGAACAAGATTTGGAAATGTCTGCTGTTTATATAAACCTTAATCAAGTTAGGTTAATTATTATTACTGTATATAGAGTGCCAGCTGGCAACTTTGATTACTTTCTACACGAATTGGACTATATACTTAATTTCTGTTATAAAGATAATAAAAATTCATAATATGTGGTGATATCAATGTAAACTATCTAGAAAATAATAGTAAGAAAGCACAGTTGGAGGAGATGTTGTGAACTTATAATTTCATGATCACTGTAAATTTTCTGACAAGAATCGCCAAAAACAGCAACTTTGATTGACAGTATATTTATCAATAGTAAAAGGAACTACAATGTTAAACCATGTGTCAGTGGACTGTTTGACCATGATGCACAGCTTATAATTAAGAATGGTACTGTAGTAAAGGAAACATAGAGAAGTATTAATATTAGAGAAATCAATAAGAATACTATATCGGAGTTTCAATTTATATTAAGCTGGGAACAATGGGAAGATATATGTGTCCATGATAATGTTAATAGTATGTATAATAATTTTCCTAACACTTACCTAAGATGCTTTTATGCCAGCTTCTCAAAAAAGGACAAAGAGATTTAATAATAACCAATGTAACTGGATTACTAATGCGATAAAAATCTCGTGTAATAAAAAGAAGAGAGAGTTCTACTGTATAGGCATAATCAGGATACTAATCTTAAATTATATTTGAAGCAGTACAGCAAAATATTAACTAAAGTGATTACAGCGGCAAAAAACTATTTTATAATAGAATTATCTCTAACTCTGATAATAAAATGAAATGTACATGGAAAATAATAAATAAGGAAAAAGGAATCACTAAACAAGATATAGGTATCCAAGCTATTATGCTTGATTATAAGCTAATTAGGAATCAAAAGGAAATGGCAGACACTTTTAATAATTACTTTTTATCTATCGCGGAAACAATGAGAGTTAATAATAACATAGATATAAGTCCCAGTGTAAATAATCCAATTATGTACATATGAGATAATTTTAGTAAACCATTTATGAAAATGAAATGGAAGTACACTAATACTCATGAAGTATAGAAAGTTGTTAAATCACTGAAAACGAATGATTCTAGTGGATATGATGAAACAGCAAGTAGAATAATCAAATCAAGTTTACCATTTATAATTCACCATTGACACATATTTGTAATGCTGTATTACACCATGGAGAATTTCCGAATAGATTAAAATATGCCACATTCAAACCTTGTTTTAAAAAAGGTAATACACAGGAAATGACAAATTACAGACCAGTATCATTATTGACTACATTTTCAAAAGTATTTGAAAGACTTATTTATGATAGATTAATTACACATATTGAAAATAACAATATTCTGGTGGATGAACAGTATGGATTTATAGCTCACTCTTCTACTGAAAAAACTTCCTTTACATTAATTCATAAGATACTCATAGCCCTGAACAGTAAGAAAATAGTAGGTGGCATATTTTGTGATTTACAAAAGGCATTTGACTGTGTCAATCATACAATATTAATGCATAAACTTGAATTTTATGGAATTATAGGGAAATTTAAGTAATTAATCAATTCTTATTTAACAGGCAGAAAGCAGAGAGTGGTACTTAGTAACAAATGTAGTAGTGATAATATATCGGATTAGGAGATAATTAAATGCGGTGTCCCACAAGTTTCTATTCTTGGCCCCCCCCTTTTTTTTTACTATACATAAACGATCTACCCAAAATAATAAACAAAGAGTATAACATGGTATTGTATGCTAATGACATGAGCATTATAATTACAGATCCCAATAAATTGAACTTTAAAACAAATCGTAACAGAACTTTTGATAAGGTAAATACCTAGTTTAATGCCAACTTACTCACTTTAAATTTTCAAAAACTCAGTATTTGGAATTTCGAATAGGAATAGCTGTAAAAGTCCAATGGTGATCATATATGATCAAATAAGTATAGTTACAGCTACTGAGGCTAAATTTCTGGGTTTGATTATTGATAACACTTTGTCTTGGAGCCAGCACATTTATTATATTATAAAGAAATTATCTGTGGCATGTTATGCAATTAGAAATATAAAGCATACAGTAACAACAGAAACGCCAAGGTTAATCTACTTTGCCCATGTTCATTCTATTATTAGTTATGGAATAATCTTCTGGGGCAGTGCTAGCTTAGCGCAAAAGGTATTCGTAACGCAAAAGAGAATTATCGGAGTCATAATGAATGAGGCCAAGAGACTCCTGAAGGGAGATTTTTAAGAGGATGAAAATAATGACATTGTATTCCCAATATACACATATATATGCACTACTTTTATTTATGGTTAATAATAAAAACTTATTTGAAAACAATAGTGAATTACATGATCCTAAAACTAGGTTACGTTAAAACTTGCACCTACTTGCGGTGAATCTGGCCAAATTTGACAAAGGTGTCTATATTGCAGGTATAGGAGTTTTTAATCATTTACCTAATTCAATAAAATGATGGGTGAATAATGAGAAGGGGTTTAAATTCGCTTTAAAAAGGTTTCTGTGTCACCATTCCTTTTACGCCATGGATGAGTTTTGTCAGTATACTGAGAGTTAGAATATACTATTCCTTGCTACTAAGTACTGTTTAAATATATTCTGGGTATGAAGTTTTAAAAAATTTTGTTGTAAATAAACTTAGAATATGTGCAGTACACATTTTTGAATTGTATATTATAAATTTAGATATCTATGAATATACGAGGGGGGACCCAAAAATAACCGGAAACGACCTGTTGCACGCGCATGCTTTGTAATTACGAGTTGTGCTGCTAGATGGTGTTAGCTGGGGGTCTCCCGCGACTGTTAGTGAGCTGGCGTCAGTCTGAGTTAAGTGGTTTGTCTGTGGTGCTCTGTTGTGTGTGTTCCTGTTTCAACCCTTTGGCAATTAGTGAGATGGCCGACCAGAAGGAACAAAGAGTGTGCGTGAAATTGATGAAGATCGTCGAAAGATCATTGACCAACTTTCTGAGGAAACGAACATCTCATGGAGCACGGTCCAGCGAATTTTAACCGAAGGTTTGCACATGAGACGGGTGTCTGCAAAATTTGTTCCTCGCTTTCTCGGAGATGACCAAAGAGAAAACCGCGTGAATGTTTGCCGCGACTTGAAGAGTGAAGTGCAGTTTTCCCTAACAGAAAGCAAAATTTCACGCACACTCTTTGTTCCTTCTGCTCGGCCATCTCACTAATCGCCAAAGGGTTGAAACAGGAACACACACAACAGAGCACCACAGACAAACCACTTTACTCAGACTGATGCTAGCTCACTAACAGTCGTGGGTGACCCCCAGCTAACACCACCTAGCAGCACAACTCGTAACTACAAAGCATGCGCGCACAACAGGTCGTTTCCGGTTATTTTTGGATCCCCTTCGTATAAGAGGTGGGCCTTCTTGGACCTTGCACCACGACCACAGTCATCTGTTAAAAGCAGTATTATATATTTTTGACTTGTGTTTGTCCTGTCATGCTAAGAATGTTTATTGACTTGTTCTGCATCTGTAGGCCTTTGGCCGGTTATGGATTTATGGAACGAATAAATATGAATGAATGGATGAATGAATTGAAATGTTATTTTGCAAGAGAGGATAATAAGTGCATAATTATTTTTCAGCGGACTGGTTTTTGAATACAAACAGAGACCATGAAGAACTTTATCATGAGGAATATGATACAGTTGCAGTGATGTTTGCTTCCCTGACAGAATATGCACTTTGGGATGACAATGGCCTTGATGATGCTAATGAACTGAGTAGCATCAGACTCCTTAATCAAATTATCTGTGACTTTGACAAGGTAAACAGTGGCCATGAAGTAAAGTTTTATTCTCAAAAGATATTCTTCTAGCATTATTTCCATTTTACATTAACACAAATCGTTTACTACATATATCAGTTCTGATGCATCATCTTCATATAGTTAACCTTATCTTATGTACTGTATTCTGTTTTTCATTACACTTTATGTTATTGTGGATAATTTAGTCAGTTCCCATACATTTCTTGTAGATTGTTTATTCAATGTCTTAATATGCCTGATTCTGCCAAGTATGTGTGTTGTATTGCATTGCTTAGGTAACATATCCTGTTATCCATTCTGGGCTGTTGAGATCATTTTGTTTTGGAAAGTGTTCATTTGTTAGAACTTCACTGTCTTTATTTTGGAGATGGCATAGCTCATGCAGTCAGTATAGTTTCCAGGCTATGTGCTTCATGGCCGGGCAGTCAGGTTTTGATTTGATGGAGGGCAGATAATTCTGTTCCAGCCTTCTATGAATAGGTATGAGATGTCTTTTCCCAGTAGTAAATCAGAAAGACATGAAGCCGGCCACCTACTGCAATTTATGCCAAAATTAAAATGGCATGTAGCTATGCCTCTACTCTCTCATACATCTTCATGGCATGATGGATAGTTAAGTAGAGGGGCAACTTTACTTTTTCACTGTCTTTATTTCTCTAGACAAGTCATTGCAGTTGAGTGACTGGGACTCTTAGTTCATATTTTGGAGGTCTTGAATCCAAATCTTAGCTCAGAGACTAGATATCCTGACTGAGGTTGTTTGTGGTTTTCCTCAGTCCCTTTTTTATTTCATTTCATTTCATTCACCTTCCATAAATCCTGTCGAGAGTACATTCTCATGCGGATGTGGAGATCGTCCTTGTTACAGTCACAACTAAGGATTACAGTTGTTAGCCAATAGCATGCACATTTGTATAAAATACTGATAAACATGTACAATATAATAAATAAGTTAATTTTAGTAGTAAGAGTAATGGCAAACCTTATACAATTTGTACAGTTTTATGCAAGTCTATTAATTAAAAATTCAATAGTTAAAACGTAATGTCATTAATGAGTCTTGTATAACATCAATTATATAATAAATTGAAACAAAGACTAGTATACAGTAATATAAAAATTGTGTATATCTAACATAAGCATCTAAAAACCAGAACACAGACTGACAACCTTGTCTTCCTTTAATTGTAAAGCAAGACAACTACTCGCACCCTAAAAAAATTTATAACCACAATATTCATGTAAAGAATAAAAAGAATGTAAATATAAAAATTGTTTTAATTGTACCTCAAAATTCTTAGTGTCACTCGATATATCCTTAATATATTGTGGTAGATTATTATAGACCTTTTTTCCTAAACAGTAAACTGCCTTTTGGTATTTACTCAAATTTACAAGAGGCTGATGTAGATTATTTTGCTGTCTGGTATTAATTCTATGAATCTCTGAATTTACTATGAATTTGTTTCTATTTTTTATCACAAAGAGCATAAGAGATAGTATGTACTGAGATGCCAGTGGTAAGATTTCTAATTCTCTAAATAAGTTCCTGCACGAATTCCTCCTGCATCCCAACACAATTCTAATTACAGTAAAACTTGGTTATAGCAACATCGGTTTCTGCGACACCTTGTCTATTGCGTCAAATATTCAATGGTACGAACTAATTCCTCATAAAGCAACTGTTTTTATACCTTGCTTAGTACGACATGCACAAATGCATCAAACCTCATATGTAACGTCATTTTCATTCCTGAATTTCTCTGATATCGTGGGAAAGTTCGATGTGTCTGCCCACCCTCACTTTCTCTACTTGCTGACATGACTGTCCTGGAAGAATACGACCGCGGGCTGCAAGAGGAGC